CTTTTTTTTCCCTAGGAAAAGTATCCCATTTTAAATGCTAGCAGACAAGCCTAAAGAAGTTCTTTGAAACTTCTGAGTGTGTGAAGCAGACAGATGGGTTTGTCTACATTCTTTTTTGCACTACAGTAACTGTGTTAGCCATTCTCTCGATAGTAAACCTAAAAGCAGACAGTAAAGCCTCTAATGCTACTGGAGAGGTAACAAACCCAGCCCCCTTTCTCAGCAACCTTGCTACATAATCTGGATTTCAGCACCAAACGCCGTTCCCTGGCATGTTAACTCTCTGCAGCATCTGTCACTGCTATGAATGGTTGATCATAAGTACCTCTGTAGTCATCTCAATGCCATTAAGCAGATGGCAGTGCTAAATCCGAATGATGTAGTACATCTCCCTGGTGGACTTTGTTTCCATATACCACCATTATTCTACAATTCCTCAGTGATAAATCTTATGTATTCTAGAGAACATTAAACAGTGAGCTGACAGTGACAATTGATTTATTAGCATCCATTTCCCTTTGCCATATTATTGTCCTCACAAACACTTGTGCAGATCATGTATGGAGTCACTAAGGGACCAAAAGCACTTTGGCTCAATTTGAAGCCTATTTCAGAGATTTAAAATAACTAGATTTTTTTCATGCCGAAAATGTCTAAACTACAGTTTTAAATGAAGATTCAACTAAATCCTCTTAATTCCTCCACAATACTATTAGGTGAATTTTCATAATAAAATTGGTCTGGCATTAACACTAGGCCATTAAAGCACACACTATTTTCTGCAATAAATGCAAATAAATAGTTAAAATTCTAGACAGGCTTGGGAAGTCCTTTAAGACTGAGCTAAATTGTATAAGGATGCATACATGCTGGTGACAAGTCTACATGGGTCTCACATAGGCAAATTATCAGCATCAGGAGTCACAAGTTTGGCTTTCACAATTACAATTCATATTTTACCATAAGATCCTAAAAAGGATTTTGGCACACAACTGCACACATGAAATACATACATATGTATATAGAAGAAATTTTATGAAGGAATTTCTGACTACATAACATTGCCCTGACTGCATATCATGTAATCCTAAAGCCTAATTGCATATTGTAGCATGAAGTAATAGGATAAGAGGATATGGCTTCAAACTACAAGAGGAGAGATTTAGATTAGATATCCTTGAGGTCCTTTCCTACCCAAACTGTTCTATAATTTTACAAAGCATTTGCTACCCTCTGATATTCAGAAACTGCAAAATATTTTTTAAATTTTAGATTGTTTTGGTTTTTTAAAACAAAAGTAAACAATCCAGTTGATTAAACATCCCAGTTTATACTGACAAAATTATCTAACAATCCCACTGCAAAAAACTATACAAGTAATTTAATCTTCTAAAAACCAATTAGGTATCTAGTAAAGTGCAATACAGCTTCAAGGGATATTTTAAGTCTTTTCGACCATAAAAAATAATTCTGTTAAAGGACATCCTGAAGCACTATTTGGGGCTTTGTTGCATGAACAGGCAGCAGTGGATAATAAAATGTTCTAAAGGAAAACAACATTTTTTTATAGGATTACAGGGCGTTAAGATAGATGAGAACTCAGGAAACTCTCATGTTTCTCTGTCTGTTAGTGCTGTGGCAGGTTTTAACTCAAACTTCAGATTGCCAGGCACAAGGAAGGATAGTGTCTCACACAATGTCAAATGAAATACCAGTAAACTTCTAACTGCTAACACATATCAGCTAGCAGTTAGTACACACAATGGAGTCATTTATTTACAAAATAAACAGAGTCTCAACTACCTTAATGCACACAGAACTTAGGAGTTTCCTATTTTTCCTATCTGAACATGTCACTCATCCTAATCCAACTCAGATTTGGCCATTTCTGGGACATACATTTGAAATGTCCAGATTAGAAGAGTAATAAAGGAGAGTCACACTGTGTTGTCAAAATTGAAGATTTGCTGTCATGCAATCTCTTAGAGATCTCCAAAATTCCTAAAGATATTTTAGATTCTATTGCAAGTTTTTGTTTTTAACAGAGGAATAACTAAATAAGCAAAATGTTTAAAACAAGAATGAAAACTTTTAGCTGTTTCCACCATATCACACATTATGCACTTAGGAGCGTTAAGCCATGTTCCTGCACTCAAATTTAGTCATATACTAAAAGCCACTGCAAATAACTTAATGAGACAATTAATTTTCAGTTGACTACCTGTTTCTCTGACTTCCTCTTTAACACACAGTATTGCTAATGTCACAGTATTTCTAGAGAAATCAGTATCAGAAGACATACTAGAAATACTTCAAGATTACTCTTTTCAATTTAGTAAAGGAAAGAATAAGTTATTTCCACATGCTGGTCACCAAATGATGCATTTTAAACACATCACTGCTCTCCATGTACAAATGCAGTTTCCTCCCATACTTTATAAGGGAAAAAAAACAAGAATAAATAAAGCTAAACTATGGAAACAATGGACTTCTCCCTACTTTCCTCCATAGTAAGGGCATTGTAATGCACCTAAATATGGTATCTCATTGTGGTTACAGAATATTTTGCAATATGGGCTATTACTTAATATTCACATCAAAGACAGGAATGCTGGTCTAGGTAGCTCAGATGGCTGTTTACAGTTATTACTTTTTGCTTGCCAATAGTATCCTAAAAAATTTTTCTGCCAAGCCAGAAAATATGCCAGAAAATGAGTGTTGATATCCTCTGAGAAACATGCAAGTGAATAATTTGTATTCTTTTACCACAGAGCACTAAAAGTCAAGTAATCATTAAGAAGGCAACAAATTCGTTAAAATCTAACAATATATGTTTTGTGAAACTACAGGTAAAATATAAAGTAAAGCAATCATTTTATGAAATATCTCCTTCTAGACAGCTAAGCACGTGCACATGTATCTAAGAATGTTATACATATTCTTATATATTAATCATTTACAAGAGCAATTTCATTCCTTGGGAGAATTACTTTTTTTCTAATTTTAGTTCAAAGGAGAAAAATCTCAGTAAAAACCTTCTTAATGCAGAAAAAAAAATCAAAGTAATGTTGAATTTTGGCTCAGGAAAATGACTTTGTAATGAAGTCCAAATGTTTGTGTGCAATAAACACATTTACTAACAGTAAAGCAGAAAGGCAGAACAGAACTTCCAACAAAAAAGTTGAGAACTACTTTGTCAATTGTCTTTTGGGGGGGAAAAAAAAAAAAATCCATTACCAGCAACTGTTCTTGAAATGTAACACTCTACAGAGTCTCATATTTTGAAGGTTCTACACTACAGATTTCTTAAATCATATTTTTATCAAGCTTAGAGTCTGCAGGAGCCAAGAATGAGGCACAAAGGTAATTTCATTATTTTAGTTCTCAACAATAATGACACTTGAACTTTCCACTATGCTTTTTCACAATGACTAAGTTGTTGAGCACAGAAAAATATTCATTTACACAACAAAACTGAAGCTGTGTGCGACAATGCTACAGCAGAGCAGATGCCAGGTGTAAACAGTTTTGTTCTCAACTTTGCTGTAAACAGATCTGCGCTATTTCAGATAAAGCTGCATTGTAAAACTCACATATACTTGGCAGAAGGTAGAACAAATCTCTCTCAAATACACTCTTCAGTTTAATTCACCACAAGGGATTTATTAACCTTTAGGAACCTCAGTAACCCTACCTCAGAGGCAGGTCATAACTTTATCATAAAATTTTGGGACATTTTTAAAGACATTAAAACACCTACTATTGACCAAATTATGAATACTTGGTCTGAGAGAAAAAGAATGAAAATAAATTACAATTCAGTAAAAGGTGGACAGAAGTTCTGTTTCCAGACAGGCACACTGGAAATACCCAGAAGTGGAGATGATCATCCAAGCTGCTACATTTGTAATGGGATTTCTGCCATGAAGTTCAAAGCACATAAAGGAAGTACTTTGTACTTCACAGCATGTTTCCCATTGTTGGGTCAGATTGTTACCCATAGAGTTGCCAAATATTGTCTGACTCCTTTGAAGAAAGCAAAACAGAAAGCAAAATTTAAAAAAAATAAAAAGTGCTTAAAAATACTGCTGAAAATGAAGCAGGAGAAGGCAAACAAATGGCAAGAGATTCAAGTATACAAGGAGTTCCACATAGGGTTAAAACAAACTGGCAGGTGTATTTTTCCTACAGGCAAATGTTGAAATGGGCAATGGGGTAGCCCCAGTGGCTCACTCAGCCTTAGGCCGTGGGAAACTTCTTGTTAGGTTGTAGTGAGAAGAATGGTATCACAGGAATTGTTATGTAGATAAAGTTATTTCACATGTGGTTATGCTTCCAGAATGTTCTCAATTCTCCCTCTAATTGGTTGTTGTTTTCCATATTATTTTGTATATTCCTAATCCCAGATCTTGATTGGTTCTCTGCCCTCAGATGTTCCACATATATTGTTGTGTCTGCCCAACCTCCTGGTACCCCATATGTGGTGCAGCTTCACTCATTTGTTGTTTTACTCTGTTATTCGAAGTTCTTTTCCAAGAGTCTCAATCATTCCTATCCCAATTATTTTTATTTGCCACTCGCCCCTGACCAATCCAGTCCCAGGGTTGCGCAACAGTCAAATACAGGTAAAATACTAAAATATAACTTTGCAAAAGTAGTTAGAAAATTTCATCAATTGTGTTTCAGAAAATTTAATACCTTCTGTAAAGTTGTCTTTTTTCTCCTCTCCCCTCCTTACCCAATCCTCCCTCCCACAATGAATCTGAAAATTTCCCTGAATTTCCTGAACCTTTGAAAATTTTGATTTAGGGTTTGGCATCACTAAAACTGTTACAAGTTGTCAGTTCTGTTTCTTGTCAGCCACTCTGAAATTTATACTTATGCGACAGTAAAAACATAAAATTTTTGCTGTTACAGATGGAATTGAACAACACTAAGTAAAACTAACTGGTCAACCACCGAATTTTTCAAACATAGTTGAAGTTGATTTGGAGGCTTACCTTTGTGCTTGAGTGCTATAGCTGTTATCATAGGAATCATAGCTTTGTTCATCATAAGCAGCTCCATAGCCATCATCATACTCCTGAAATGATGCAAAAGATGTAAATATTAACTTTAATCACACTCCAGAAACAGAGCAGTAACCTAATTCTTCTAAGTGGGAAAGGCAACACTCTCCTGAAATGTATGTATATATGTACACCATGGAGTGGCAAAATCTTAATATTGAGACTACTTCTATCAATAAATCTTAGACCATGATTTCTTTAAAGGTATTTTAAGTTATTGGCAATGTGCTTTGAGAAGATGTTTTTTAGTTAACACTGGCTTGTGCAGATGACAGTACAAACATATCATGCCTCCATGTTCTTGAGTGAGCTACTGATCTTGAAGAAAGCATCTCAGGAATCAAAACATCTGAATAAATATTGTACAGTTGACTTAGGTACCTGACTTATTTCTGGATCATAAATTCAATATTCTACGTAACTTTGAATAGGAAAGGACTTTTCTGGAGATAAGACTAGCAGGAATGATAGTTTTACCACTCTGAAAGCCCTCTGAATACTCTTCAACTTTTTGGAGCTCAGCACTGAACAAGAAATTAGAAGTAAGGATTTCTTACTTGTCTCCACATATTCACACTATTTAAATATACACCGTAACAATCTTCCCAAAACAGTGCTGTATTTCAACACCAATTTGAACAAACTACTAACCCCAGCTATGTAAAAGTTTGGGATAAAAACAAGTGACAGTGATTATGTGTTTTCAAAGAGAAGGATGAGCTAGAGAAACCTGAAGAACTGTACTCAATTTACTGTTTTGCCCAACAATACACCTAACTGCTCTAAACACAGGAAAAGCAAAAATGGCACATCCACTGCATTGATTCCTAGGAAATCCTAATATCTAAATTCTATCTAAATATCCCAAAGACCTCAATGATGGGTATTTAGGAGTATGTTGCCAGATAAGAATGATCTAAAGAGAAGATACTTTGAAGACTGGGGGATCATCTTTCATATAGGTATGAGTGTGTGTATATATATCTAAATAAGTAAAAATGGTGTTTTCTGAATAAGTGTGTATCCAGCCCTGACAATTAAAGGATAAAGCCTCATGAAAGAGCCAACATTTTCATGAAAAAGAACACTTAAGAATCTTTCAGCAGAGACAGAAAACAAAACTAACAAATAGAATCAATTTAGATAGGAGTGACAAATGATGGATTGTCTAACTCTAGTAGAAAACATCTCCAGTGATGGGACTCTGACAGCTTTCTGTAGCAGAAGCCAGTAACAGCCTCAAAATAATTGATGGAAAACCTAATTTCCTATGAGTTTGTAGCAAGTTTTCCAGTCATTTGAAATTGCTTCTATGGAAAACAGGCAACCTGTCTATCGACAGAGCTTCACCACTGTTAGATCAGTGCACATGACTGTTTCCCAGCAGTGATTAGGAGAAGGAGGACTGTGAACATTTGCCAGCACAGCTGAGTGAGTTTATTTATTGATTTAGAAGAAGAAACTAGGATTCTTTCAACTGTCAGTTGCATGGAAATCCATGAATAAATAGTCACTCTTAGAAGGAATTTTATATTCTCTTTCAGTAATACACTGCCTTGAAATTAAAAGTTAAAACAGACTTTTAGGATTTTTTTTTGTCCATCAGATATGGGTTTTCCTTGATAAGCCACAGACTAAACCCCCAACCCCAATGCCTCCTGGCAGTTATTCCAATCAGGCATTTTATTCCTTATTGATGCAATACACAGACATCTGTTAACAATACAGACCCTGACCAACAGCAGAAGCTGCCTGAGCCAATTTCTTTGCTCTGTTCCAGAAAATTTACATGACATTTGGTCTCCTCTCATAGACTCTCACAACTGTGAACCAGCCATCCCTGAGAGAGGCTTCCAAACTTCAAACTGGGCACATCCAGCAATGGCAACAAACGAAAGCAGAGGACTGAAATTAACTTTTTAATGTGTTAGACAAGCTTTGCCCCGAAGGAATCATTAGAGACCTCTTGAGCAATCAGTCCTCTCGTTCACATGTATATTAACTAGTTCACTGAAAAAATGGATCATGAAAGAAAGATGGTAAGAGACAACTTTGAAGTTATGGGTTTCTATGACTTCTTGAAAACAGAGGAACAAAATAAATTTGAAATGAGAAGATCCTTCATAAGATGTTCAGCAGAACAAAAGGAAAATCTGGGGGAGGTTTATTCTGTGTCAGACTGAACTACTTATTTTATTAGCACTTGTCTTCCAGAGAATTTTTGCCCAAGATTCATTACTGTTCACCACTTCATGTGTTAGTAAATTGACAACTGCTGAAATTAAGCCCTGCATTATGATACTGTTGATGGTGGCTCTTAGAAGGCTTTCATGGAAAGATATCTGGTTAGTAGTTTATATGTGGGATTTCTGTCAGAATTAAAATTGTCAACCTGTGCTTTTGAGATAACTATAATCTGCTTAAACAGATCAATTATCTTTTATTGATGTATTTCACAGAATCACAGAATGGTCTGGGTTAGAAGGGACCTTTATGATCATCTTGTTCCAACCCCTGTCATGGACAGGGACACCTTCCATATGTCTGGAATAGACCAGGTTGCTCAGAGTCCCATCCAGCCTGGCCGTGAACACCTCCAGGGATGGGGCTGCCACAGCTTCTCTGGGCAGCCTGTGCCAGAGCCTCACCATACTCACAGGAAAGAATTTTCCCCTAATATTTAGCTATAAGCCTCAAAGTTTACAGTAAAAACAACATAAATATTTGCAACATGCTCCAAAAATAAAATGGGTTTGGTCTCAATAGCTTGTTCTGTTAAGAAATAAGAGATTCAAATTCCAAAATATATGTTTGCTCTGCACGATTCCTTTGAAGTAGCAATTAGGCAGAAGCAGCTGAAGTATGTTTCTGAGCTTTCCCTGAACTAGGTCTGACAGTATTTGCTCTTAGTCATGCAGTATTTGAAAACTTTCTCTTTCAGGAGGTTACAAATAAGGTCAGCCAAAACAGATTTTTTTTACATTTTAAATTAAATCTACGCTACTTGAGTATTTTCTTTCTGAATCAGGCCTCTAGTGGCTTCAGTGAACATTTTCTTTATTTAGTATTTAGGTGAAATATCCTTGACCATCTGGCATGTTCAGTGCTATAAAATGGCATGCTAACAACTGAAATGAAAATAACTAAAATGGACAGAACTGAACTTAAATGCATAGAAAGTCTGTACTAAAGTACACCTTTGTACTAAGTACATTCTACTAAGCCCAAGCATCTCTATACAGATTTCTTTCTAGGTAATAACAAAAGAATCACACCTTCATAAGAACCTTCTCATTACATTTTTCCTGCTGATTTTTGGGCATCTTTGGTACTTATAAAGGTATTCACTTTTATATTTAAAGCCATTATTCTTCACATAGATAACAGTGTCTCTATTTTTCCACCTACTAAATGTAATTCAATGGACTTCCCTCTCTATTCATACTACATATTCATCTCCCTCTTCAAAACCCAAAAGCCCACACCAGATCATGTCTTCATTCCATGAACAGAAGCCTTTTCTTTATTATTCTACTTTTCAGGATAACCTAGAAAACTTAACTCTTATCAGATTAGTCTGATCAAAAGGCAGCAAGAGTGCTGGACAGTCTGTGCTTACAACAGAAATGCAGGGAAAAAAGAACTGAAAACGCTGAAGTCCTTTTAAACTACAGGTATTTATCCCCCAACATTTAAAGTATCCACCAGGAAGGTATCAAGAGCAACTGTCCTGACTCCAGGCTTAAGGATCTTCCCCCCAAGTAACAGAAAAGTTGGAGTTCCAACACATATCATCCAAAAAGAATATGAAATTACTCTGTAAAATCTTTATTCATGAAGTCCTTTATTAAGCCAACGCATAAGTGTTTCTACTTAAAGAGAGCTTCTGCTTGCAGTGGTCTAAATGATGGTGCCCACAGGTGAAATAAATCCAAAGAGCAGCAGTGGTAGCTGTAATTGCTCCATGTAAAGTACAGACATTTTTCATTAAAAGAATCAAAGACAATGTGTAAATATGCACCATGCAAATATATTAAGTTACTATCATGGGTCAAAAAAATGATAAAAACAATCTTTGCCAAAACCTCTGCACTCCCCAAAACATTATAAATCATACTAAGCCTTGCTCATCAGTGCTTTTTAATTACAACAGTACTCTGAACAAACCCTTGCATGTGAAGAATAGGTAATGGTAGTTTTAAATTGTAATCTGCTGGCAGTGACAGTGACAGACTACTGCTTGGACCCTCTCTAAGGAAAATGAACAATGTTTCAAAGAACAAGACAAACAGGGAGAAAGAAGAAGGTAAAAGTGGCCTTTAACAAAAAGGCCATTTGCAGAACTGGGAAAAAAGATCCTGTAATCAACAAGAAATCAATTTTCCAGCTGTTCCTATCTAAGGAAATCCATCCAAGGGAACAAAAATAAGGCCATTACCACAACAGCTAAAATGTTTTATTTTTACACTGTTTCTTTTCCTCATCATTCTCCTGAATTAATACTTAGACCACTACTTTATCCCAGAACACTGGATGAACATATACCTTTTAGATAAAAACTATCAGATAAAAAAAACCAGAAAAGTTTGTGCAGAGATGAACTTGAAGGAGAAAACACAAAAGTAAGTGCATTGCAATGAACTTTTGGCAAATTAGAACTGTAAAGGGAAGGAAGAGCCTTTTGTTACATGGCAATAACATCCCCCCTCATTTAATCAACAGGGAATATGGGGCAATCAAAACAAATATGGGTAGCTACAATCATATTAACTCTGAGTGCCCACATCAAGGATATTAGCAGCAAACATGCAGAGACTGTAAGCTCTTATTTTGGAGATTTTCATCTGTTTTCATCCAGAAGGAGCAGAGTGCATATCCAACCAGAACAAATAAGGTTTTCCTAGAATGAGAGATGCAGGAGTGGATTGTTTTTCATGCACCTCCAGAAGTCCCTGAGGAGTTGCTAATGAATATAGACAGCAACGTTTAAACCAAATTACTATCAGACCAAAACAAGTCTGATTTTCTATACACAACAGCAGGGAGCAGTGT